TAGAGGAACCCCGAGACTATGGCCCCCAGACACCCTTTTAACTCAGAACTGAAGTCACTCCCAAAGTTCACCCTTCAGCCAAAGATTACACAGGTCTATAAAACAAACAATAACACACATGAGGAACATGCTTCTTAGCTCAATCATGTAAATGAGACTAAATGGGCAACACCTGACCAAAAGCAAAGAGGAGAAGGCAGGAAGGGACAGGAAAATAGGATGAATGGAAACAGGGAATCCAGGCTGGAGAAGTGGAGAGTGTTGACGCATTGCAGGTATTGCAACCAATGTCACAAAACAATTTGTATATAAATTGTTGAATGAGAAACTAATTTGCTCTTTAACTTTCACCTAAAGCACAAAATAAATAAATAAAATATATGAATTATATTATTACAATTTTGCTGAGAAAATCACTGGAGAGTTATGATTTGGAGGGATATGCAATCACTGTGGAGAGTATCATAAGAAAATTTGATATTGATCATTACTCAGATACCAGCTCGTGAGGGGAGAGGCAGGTGCACAAATGTTGCTCTACCTGGCTACTCTGAACCACCCTTTGCAGCACCTCACTGCTCCCCTCCCAACTCATCCAGGGTAGGGCTTCCACTCCATTAACAAATCTTGCTATGTGTTCATAATTACTTTGAGCAAGCTATTACCCATCCAAAGAAAACTGCATTGTTAAAAAAAAAAAATCTCAGGACAATAGAATATTTGAAGACAAAGGAATAAATCTAAAAGTCATTTTAGGCAAGAAGAAAAAAAAATTGCAAGGGAGATGATGGGATTTTCCTTAGGCGAGATAGGGGTTATCAGCACTAATCAAAGCACACCAAACAGGTACTAGTCCGGCTTAGCTACATTTAGAACTAAGTGGACATAAGACTATAGGAAATATACTTGACCAACTCAGTAATATAAACTACTACCAGATACTTTTAATACTAACAACAACAAAAATCCATATTAAAAAGCAAATAATGAATATGCTTCATATAATTATCCCACCTGAACCACTGAGGAAAACATTCTCAGGACCTTAAATTGACACCCCTTTAATAAGGAGGTTTCTTTTTCTATTTATTTTTTATTTGCTTTAATTGCTTTAAGCAGTGTTTTAATTGCTTTCAGAACCTAGAAAATAGAAAAAAATAAAATTCATTTTTTAAAAAATTGCAAATATTCCTCTAATTTCCACAAGACTTCTCCCTCTAGCAGGGCTGGATTATCCAATAAGCAAGGTAACCATGGGTTTACTTGTGCTTATTTACTAATCTGTAGCGAAAACTCACACCTGATGTGGCGAAACCCATGTGAAATTTTTCACTACATATTAGTAAGTAAACACAAATAAGCCCATATGTACCTTGCTTACTGAGTCATCCGCCCCTGCCCAATAATCTATTTCCAAATTGCTGAAGTTTTCACTATGTTTTAATAGCAGGGGAGGATGCTGGGAACAGGTAGGGAACTAACCAGGCTGAAAGGCTGGCAAGGGTCAGTAAGTTGTCCAAATCAATGTCCAAGGAGGAACAACCAACTCAGGCATCTTCTAGGTCAGTCCTTAACCCCAAAGGCGGTGGACCGTCAGTGCGAAGTGGTAGGTGGCAGCGTAGGTCTCTGGGCAAATACAGGCCTGGCAGTTGGGTGGGTGGCAGCAGCCAGACTGTGGGTGGTCAAATACACAGTGTGTATTAATGTAATTCTAGATTTACATGCCATCCTGCAAAACTCAGGCCCACAGAGTGAGCGGATGGCTGCGCTCACCTAGTCAAATGAATGGAAATAGCCAAAGAGTCACGGTAGAATGTATCACTTCTTCTCCTTTAATATAATTATTTTCATTTCATTGATAGCATAATATCAGTGACCATTTCAACTCCAGTATGCCCAAGATGAGAATTCAGGAGTCTAAAGTTCATATTAATTATTTCAGCATTTCCACCTATTTTAATAATTTTCATCTAAGTAGTGCTTTTATCTTAGACATGCTTATCTACATCCATTACTTGCTTCTTCTTCCTTCTCTTTTGCATTGACTTCTACCACTATCATGAATTCCTTCCTCGACTGCAGAACCTCTGCCACTATCTGCGCTTTTATTGCAGAATCTGCCTCCAAGTAGCCAAATTCCTTCTGATTTCCTTCTCTACAGCTCACAGCATAACCTGCTCTCTCTTGATACAGAAAGGACACCACATAACACACACGCGCACACCCAGGAATGTACATTCCAGATCCCTGAGGCTCCTTGGCCTAGCTCTCATGGATGCTGCTCAAGTGCTGCCTTGCAGGACATCCTCACCAACCAGAGAGCCATTCCTTCCCCACAGAGCATGTGTTTGCTTGGCTGGCTGGTGGGGAGCAGATTCATCTATTCATATGTCCTCTACTTCACCCTTCCACTCCAGCAGGGTCACTCCCAGATCTACTCACAGCCCAGATTTCCTTCCTGGGCCTTACCTGTAGACAGACATCATCAGAGTTCTGGTCTAAAGGCACCATAAAAGCAGCAGACTAGGATCACTTAGAAGACAAGGACCATGTCTCCTTCACCAACATATCTCTAACTCCTCATACTATACCTGGGCCACTGATCAGTTTTGAATGAATGACTGAGTCTTGGTCTCTCTGGGTCCTTTACCTTGCTTTCAGCTTTTGCCAACCCCTTCCCTACCCCACCCCAGTTCAAGGCCTTTCTAGTCAGGAAGAAAATGCAATTATCTGATCTCATACATACTATGTCCCAAATTTAATGCTACTTCTTCCAAGGTTCTTTGTGTGTTTCCAGAGGAGAGTGGGGCTTGGAGGGAGTGGCCCCCTAAAGAGCCCCAGGTCTTGCTTCCACTCAGGCCTCAACTTCCTTTGCTAAATCATATCCATCTGTCCCCATCCCCAGAAACAACTCTCCTAGCCCCCAGAAATGACTCTGCCCTAGACTTTGTTCACCAGGTAAACTGGCTTTCTTTCAGGCTTCACTTCAGACCCCAAAGAGTAAATGCGGTCTTGCCATGCTCTCATTTCCACTCTCCCTAGACTGTTCCGCTCCTGTTCACCTCTGACATTCTACTACTAAAGCCAAGCTCACAGCCAGAGCCCTGCCTCGTAAGTCCTGGTTCTCAGGCTTTGGATAGCCGGCTCATGTTTACTGAGTGCTCCCCATATAGCAAGGGCAGTGCTAAACGCCTCATGGGCATATCATTTAGTCCACACCTGTGATGTGACCATATAATGCTTGGGCTACAAGAATTCCCTGCCACAAAAGGCCTTAAGGAGGCAATGTTAACTAAATTAATTACAGATCCTAAGACAGGGCTGGCTCCAGGCGTGGTACACTGAGGACATTTGGGCAGATAAAGATGGGTGTGACAACTTTGAACCCCTCAAATCCTCCAGAACCTTCCTGGCTGGCAGAGGTACCCCCCCCCACACACACACACCAGCAGCCTTCTCTACCTATATTAAACCTTTCAATGACTTCACCTGGGTAACTGCCTCACAAAGGGATGCAGATTCTTCTCAGGACTGACTCCCACTCCGCACTGCTTCCAAACCCTCCACACCCAGAGATCCCGCACAGCCCAGGCAGCAGTACAAAGCCTGATCAGGAGACAGTCAAGCAGCTTGCCAATCTATATAGGCAGGAATCCAGAAGGAAGGGCTCCGAAGGGTGTCTGACCTGTTAATTATAATTATTGATTATGAGTGCACTTACCCAGGATCCTGGATTTAACGTTAGCTGGAGCACCTGCAAGTGTACAACATTGGTTAATTGAGCCTGAACTCCACCACAGCCCACAGGCAGTAAAGATTGAGGGCCAGAATTTCCCTGGCAGTGTTGAGGAAGGAATTCAAAGGCCCAGGGAGATGGGAACATTGTATGTGTCCAGATTCCTGCCTGTTGTCCCTTTTCACTCAAAAGTGCCCCCAGTTTAGGATCATGTGCTACCTGTTCAGCCACCCCCTATCCATGCCACCCTGGAGTGCTCAAGATGCTACTCCCTTCACCATGGCTTTAAGAAATGCCCTGGTGAGTGGAGTTCTAGACTCCCTATCAAGCCCAGTGGTGGCTGCCCCTTACCCTAGAAATGACAGTGGGGAATAACTGATGGAACTGGGTCCCTTAATCTCAATGGGAATAACGAGAGCCAGAGTGGGAGTGGCAGCACTTAACCATTAAGAGACAATAGTTTATTTTTTTAGTAGTGCTTGATATTTATTGAAAAGAATGCAAATGCTTTTTCCAGGTAGTATTGGGCTGAGTACCTGTCTTTGTCTGTTTTGGTTTTCATATTCTGTTGTCCAAATGCACACATCTGCAGGACTGCTGCAATTTTGAAAGAAAAACGACAGCTGTGCACAACTGATGCAGAGGAGAGAAGAAATGTCCCAATTTGGCTGCCAGGCACGCCCAGGCCCCTGCAGCCACCTGGGGCGGCAGGGGAGATGCTGGGAATAGGTAGGGAACTAACCAGACTGAAAGGCTGGCCCTTGCAAGGGTCGGTAAATTGTCCAAATCAATGTCCAAGGAGGTGCAGCCAACTCAGGCATCTTCTAGGTTGGTCCTTAGCTCCAAAGGCGGTGGACGGTCAGTGGGAAGCGGTGGGTGGCAGCGTAGGTCTCTGGGCAGATGCAGGCCTGGCAGTCGGGTGGGTGGCAGCAGTGGGACTGTGGGTAGTCTGTCCAATTTGTCACCTGGGCCTGGCCTACAGCTGGGGTTCAGGCGACAATCCAAATTCAGAGGGAGGGTCCTGGGGCTGGCCGGAATGGGCGGCGGTGCGCCGAGGGAGGTCTCCACCCCAGCGGCAGGTAACTGGGGCACTATTCCTGGAACAAAGACAAGCACTACGGGGGATGGGGAGAGAACCAGAGAACCGAAGGGCAGAGAGAGGGAAGGGGACGGGGGACAAGGGTAAGCGCGGCGGCTCAGGGGAGGGGGCTGAGGAGGGTGGCAGCGTGCAGGGCCCTCCTCCCAGGCCCGAGGGGCTCCGGACCTAGTAATACTCGTCTCCCTCCTCGTCCTCGTCTTCATCGTCGTCCCAGCCGAAACACTGCTTCATCTCATCGAGGAAGGCCCGGTAATCCCCTAGGATCGGGCTATCCATCTCGATGTAGGGAACCACCCACTCTTCTGCTTCCCCGGTGAGGAGGCTGATTAGGAAGGCTACCTTCATGGCGTCATTGCAGAATCGGTTCTCGTTGACAAGCATATAGGACGTCGTTTGCACGATAAACTCGGGAAGCCGGGCGCTCTCGCCGCTAAACGTCTCGGGGAAGGGCACCGGGCAGCTGGGCGGACGTACCTGGCGCAGCAGACTGGCTCTCTCGCACACCAGCAGCCGCAGCTGCTCCATCAGCTGGCTGTTCTCGATGCTCAGGGCCCGGTGCCGCATCAGCAGCGCGTGTAGCAGCAGAACAAGCTCGTCCACCATGGCGAACGACTTAGAGGGGCTCGGCCTGCTCGGCTCAGCCACGGGCTGCTCGGAGGCCTCGCAGGAAGTGCGTGTCCGCGCAGGCGACGGGGCGGGGGGAGCGGGACGGCGCACCGGGGGCCTGGCCGCTGCGCAGGCTCCGCCCACTGGTCGCTAGGGCAGCCGGCGCGGCGCGGAGGGCGTGGCCATGGATAGCAAGGGCAGGGCCTTGGGGGCGTGGCTATGAACGGGGCTCGCAAGGGCATGGGGGCGTGGCCAGGGGCAGGGCTGGCAAGGGTGTCACCGACCAGCCGGGTTTACCCAGGCGGGTAGACACCACCGGTACAAGCTACTTTAGACGAGGGCCCAGCAGGCACCGAGAACCATCTCTCAAAGAGAGCCAACCTGCTCAAGTTGAAAGGATTAACAACCAACCCCCCCCCACACACACACATACACCCTCACAAATCAGTGTTCCCCTCATAGGTCTGCAGCCACTAGATTCCATCTGCATGAATTTCACGCACCCAAGAACTCCTGGATGCAGAAGTGGGTGTCTTGCGGGAGTCACATTCTTTCAGAGACATACACACCCTCAAGGGGTCCTATCTTTCATGACGAACCAAAATTTAAACGGGATTTTCTTTACTTGGGAAATATTGTATAGCTCGTTTTATTTTTCTAAATACCCCAAAACCAAACCCGTTGCCCTCTGAGTCAATTCCAACTCACAGCGACCCTGTAGGGCAGAGTAGAACTGCTCCATTGGGTTTCCAAGGAGGGCCAGGTAGACTCGAACTACCGACCTTTTGGTTAGCAGCCATAGCTCTTAACCATTACACCACCAGGGTTTCCAGGAGTAAGGTATAAAAAGTTCTGTAAAATCAGAACCTGATAACCCTTTGCAGGCATCCTATCTGTGCCTCTAGTTCATGTCCTAATATTAGTGTCCCTCGGCCATTAAGTATTATTATTCTTTGCTTAACTAAGACGTTTGTGTTTTTAAATGTGTTTGTTTTTCTACTTTGAATGTGATTATTCCAGTAGATGCTGAGCAACTGAGTTAGCCCAGGACCTTAGAGTCAACATATCCTGTTGGCTCTGCTTTTAAAATATATCCCCAATTCAGTCACTTCTTGTTACCTCTACCACTAACACTCTGGTCCAAGACTTTTTTTTGCGTCCATACTTCCACAACTTATCTCTGAGCTTTCACTCTTGCCCGTCTATAGTATATACCCTACAAAGTAGACACAGGAATCCCTTTAAAACAAAAGTCACATCTCATTAAAAAACCAGTTGCTGTCAAGTCAATCCCAACTAATGGCAACCCCATGTATGTCAGAGTAGGACTGTGCTCCATAGAATTTTCAGTGGCTGATTTTTGGAAGTAGATTGCCAGGCCTTTCTTCTGAGTTGCCTCTGGGTGGAATACGTATTTGCTGTGGTTTCTTATAAAGTTAAACATATACAGTAAAACCTACAAAAGCCAGCACCTGCATTACAGGGAGACCTGTCAGAAAAGGAAAACTCAAATATTTTCTACTAATAGCAATAGAAAAGGGGTACAACTGCATCCTGTCAAAGACGGAAAACTTGTGAGACCCGGAAAAACTAGGCATTTCCCTGTAGGACAGAGTAGAACTGCCCATAGGGTTTCCAAGGCTGTAAATCTTTATGGAAGTAGACTGTCACATCCTTCTCCTGCTGAGCAGCTGGTGGGTTTGAACTGCAGACCTTTTGGTTCGCAGCTGAGCACTTAACCACTGCGCCACTAGGGCTCCTTTCATATCTACCTTACGACTCAGCAATTCCATTCCTAGTATTTACCCTAAAAGAATAAATATGCTCACAAAGATTTCTACTAGAATGCTTATAAAGCATTGGAAACAACCTAAATGTCCATCAAAAGAAGAATGGATAAAACAAATTGTGACATATACTTATAAGCAACACCACTCAGCAAACTGTGAATACACACAACAAGAATGAATTCCAAAGGCATTATGTTCACTGAAAGAAGTCAGGTACATAAGAGTAACATACCTATATGGTTCAATTAATACAAAATCCAAGAACAGGACTTCCGGCAAAATCGCGCTCTAGGCAGAAGCACCACACCGTTCCTCCACGGCAAAGACCCGAAAAACTAAGCCGAACAGAGAATACAACAATCCTGAAACCCTAAAACATCAAATGAAGAGATAAAGAACCCAGCCAAGCACCAAATGGAGTGAGAAAACTGACAGACAACAGAGAGCGAGGAGAGAGATTCATGCAGAGGTCCCCTACCAGCTAACGCAGTGTGGATCCGCCATCTTGAACTCCTATCCGAGACCAGCAAATGGGGTACGAGAAAGCAGCTTCACGGAGCTTCCATTGGGAGACAAAACAACCGGTAATTTGTGAGATACGCTTTCCCACCCTTCTTCACCCCCACTCAGCCTCCTCTGCTTCCTGTGGCCACAATCTCTTGTCCGGGAAACACTGGCTGCCTGGATTCCACACACCCAAACGGGCTGGCTCTCCGAGTGCCATTTCGTGGCTGCTGATGTTGCTTTTTTCCGCTTCATTTGATTTCTTCCTTACCTCTCACCACCTCCCCGTCCTTTCGCTCAAATACCTGGCTCCGTGCGCCATCTTTGCTTCTTCCTGAGGGGCTGCAGAGCTCTGGTAATATGTAATATACGCTTTCTCACTCCCTATCCTTCTTCACCCACACTCGAACACCTCTGCTTCCTGCGGACACAGTCGCTTATCCGAGAAACACTGGCTGCTTGGATTCCACCAGCCCACACTAGCTGGCTCCCTGAGTGCCATTTGTTGGCTGCTGGTGTTGCTTTTTTTTTTCCTGCTTCTTTTGATTTCTTCCTTACCTCTCACGACCTCCCCCACCTTTCGCTCAAATACCTGGCTCAGTGCACCATCTTCACTTCTTCCTGAGGGGCTGTGGAGCTCCGTTCAAGTGTGGAGCTGCTTCCCGGTCTGGGCTGCACTGCTGGTGGGATCCCGGTGCTTTTGTTCATTTGTTTGTTTTGAATTGTTTGTTTTCTTTTCCTTTTCTTGAGTTGGGAGCCCTTTCTGGCGAGGCGGTGCTGCGTGGCAAGGAGACTACCCCCTCGACTTGCACAGATGTGCAGAGGGATCCCTGAGAGCATTTCTTTTTTCACTGTTTTTTTTTTTTTTCCTGTTTTTTTCGGGGATTTTCTTGTTCGTTTTTTTATTTTTAATTTGTTTTGGGGTTTTTTCCCCTCTTTTTCCCCTTTTGTCTTTCTTCATTACTCAGTTTCTCGTCTCTGTATATCTTCCTTCTCTTTCTGTTCCCTGAATACATGGCGTTGTATACCTCTATGCCTTCTAGCCAGGCTGTACTGCAATACCTGAAAGCGACTTCCCCAGACCTCATAGCTGCACCAGTGGGATCCCTGGGAACTTTGCGGTTCTTTAACCTTTCCAATTTTTATTTATTCAATCCTTTCTTTTCTTTTCTTCCTCTTCCCCTTTCTGTTTTTCTCCATTTCATAGTCTCTCATCTCTCCACTCCAACAGCAAGCTGCCCTAGCATTCTTTTTTGATTATTTGTATGTTTTTGACTCCTGTTCCTCTCTCCTCTCTCCCATATCCATCTTAGCTCCACAAATAACAATCTCCCCGCTACATCCTGCCTACCTGCACCATGCGCTTAACATCACACCACCAAGCAGCACAGGCACCGCCTACTGGAACCTGCCCTGCACTGACTACCGACCCGCCCTGGTGGCTTTAGTAAGTGCCACAAACAACCCGTCCCAGTAACTCCTCTTCAGCTAGACCTGCCCTTCCGTACCATATCTGAGTGACTGACCTGCCAATTGGAGAAGGAGGCAAAAAGTATTGTGCCCACAGATGAGCAAACAACAAAGAACACGCAGTCCGCCTGGTCAGACACAGTCAAATTAAAAAAAAAAAAGGGATGAAACAAACAAATCTACAATCAATAAACGAGAAAAATAACTACTGAATGCCCCGAAGACAGCAGAAAATATCAAAACATTTACAAAAACAGACAGGATGGTTCCAGTGGGCATTCAAAATAAAACACCAGATGACTCTCCAGTGGAAGAAAATGAACTAGAACTACCTGATAGGGAATTCAAATCTCTAATACTCAGAATTCTCCAAGAGCTGAGGCAAAAAGCTGACAAACATGAGGAAAAGATAGACAAATTCATGGGAAATACAGGCAAAAAATTGGAAGAATTCAGCAAAATAATACAGGAACAAAATGCCAAAATAAATTCACAGCCAGAAATTATACAAAGACAACAATTAGAAATCCAAAAGATAAACAACAAGATTTCAGAAATGGACGGTG